GCTCCAGCCGAGCCCATCATTACCACCTATTCCCAGTCAAACATGGACATAGCATCTGCCGTCCATGCCATTCATACCACAACATCATCAAAACCCCCTATGTGCAGACATCCAGCCGCTCAAAAAGTAGAATGCGGAAAGTGTGGCGGCCGGGCGCTGAAGCGAATGTATACAACAACACACAGACACAACTGTGTCGTGGAAAGTCCAAAAGGTAAGCGACCGACTTGGGTATCAAAAAAGGGGTACAATAAACCGCGCGTAATAGCGCTACAAGGGATGCCCACGAGAAGAATGGTTGTGGTTCCCCGATGCATGCAGGGCTGCAGCGTCACTGCTGCTGCTGCCGACGCTAGTGATTCTATGCCGTCAAATCCATGGTGTAGATAATGGATCGCTGAAATGCTTCGCAAACAAGAAAAAACTCCGCTCCAATGCATAGGTCGTTAGAGGCCGTCACCCGGGGAGGTAAGGTGATAGTGCGAAACGTAGGGATGAGTATAAGTCTGTGGCGAGAGAGATGTAGATGTGTCGTAGGTCTAGGTCTTAGTCTTTGCGGAGGGTGGTGGGCTCCGTGTCAGATCCGATGGTCTCGCCTTCCCAGAGGCTTTGAGAGTCGTCGGTTGGTGATCGTGCGCCGATGGGACTCCTGCCACCGGTGGAGTAGGATGAAGAGGAGCCGCTAGCCCAGTCGTCGGAGTCGGAGTGGGCGTGGGATGGGAATTCCTCGTAGATGTCGAGCATGCTGTAGCCAGCACCGTCCATGGGGTCGCCAATCTCGACGTAGTCGTAGTCCCAGCGGAACTCCTTGTCGGATTGCGGGCGGGGGAGGAACTTGGCGCGGCCGAAGAAGTAGCAGACACCGGCAACTGGGGAAGTTAGCAGAAGAAAACAGTGAGGGAGAGATTTCAGACTTACGCAGACTGCCAGCTACCAGGTCAATGGCGTAGTGGTGGGAGAAGTACATGGTCGACCACCAGAGCCACATGGTGTAGAAAACGTACACGGGGAAGAGCTTGGGGAAGACGTGTCCCATAAACAGCGTCTCGAGAGTAGCCCATCCGGAGTGCAAGGAGGGGAAGGCGCCAAAGACCAAGGGCGAAGCGTGGAAGCCCGAAGTGTAGAGATCAATGCCAGTCAGCTTGTCGATTGCCTTGAGTCCCGCGGCGTCACCAGGGATGCTGTAGTTGGCGGGGGCCAATCCGTAAGTGTTCTCGTACCAGGGGGGCGAGCAGGGGAAGACCATCTGGATCAGAACAGCTGTGATGTTCATGTAACCAAAAGCGCGCGCCCAGATTGGGAGGGTGCCAGGAGGCGCCCAGATGAACATGCATGCGCTGACAATGACAGGCGATACATAGTGTACGACACCGTATGGCAACCAGGCGAGGATGTCCAGGACTGTGTGCTTGTGCGCGGAGAGGATGTTGCTGAGGTTGGCGCCGTAGAGAATGTTCTCGAGAGCGGGGAGGACGCGGACCCAGATGGCAGGGCGGTAGTCTGGGGAGATGTATCTGGGGCATGTTAGTATGGATCTTGCCACACGTTTGAGGAGGTGGATTACGCACTTGCAGCTAGAGAAGAGGAATAGCCATGTAAGAGTAGGGAGCAATGGGAGGAGAAATTGTCGTGTGATGGGCATACACAGGCCCGTCATGAGCAGCGTGGCTATGAATGTCTTGGCAAAGGGCCCCGGCGCCTCGCTCACGGAGAGGGAGAAGATGGCGAGGATGGCGAGGAAGAGATACTGGGCATCGTATATGCTCCAAGAATGGGTGCGCAGGGAGCGCAGGGTATCCGAGGGCGAGAAGGACGTCTCGAGGCCGGCGATGGATGACGTGGGCGCCTGGCGACTGCGTATGCGCGACTTGGTGGCCCTCCACTTCCTGCGCACGCGGTGGGGGATAAGACTGGGCAGGGCGGAGAGGCCCGGGACCTTTGTGCGCGACAGCATGTCGGCGGCGGTGCTGTTGTCGAGGAATGCGAGGTAGCTCTTGTTCGTCATGCTGAGGATGGCGCTGGAGGAATGGCGGTTCAGGGCTCGGTCGCTCGGGGGTTGTCTGTGTGGCGCAGTTCCAGGTAGGTGCAACAGCAGACACGCGACCAGAGGCGGGTGAAAGCACGTCGAAGTGGTACGGCGTGCAGGAGGTGGGCGAGCGGACAAGAGGGAAAGAAGGCGGAAGAGGGCGGACTAGGGATTATGAAAGGCAGCCGTGACTTAGTGGACACTGGAAGCTCCGGATGGCTGAGGCTTGCACAGCGCGCTGCCGGGGGGTCAAATTAGGTCCGCGACGTGAGCGGCTACGACGGACCCGGCTAGTCTGCGAGGGCGCTCAATTTCGTTTACACCAGGACGCTGTGACGGCCGCCAGGATTCGCATCATTGTTTCGACCGCGTTGGCAAAGAATGCGAGTGCCCGTGGTTGACGCTTTCTCTTTCACCGTGGGCTCTCATGGTAGCGTGCGACCCCAACCGTGGCACTGATAACGTTCCCAGGGCCTCTGCATCTGCATCTGCAGGCATGTGACCCTTGCAGCACACCCGTAGATGTCCTTATCACGTTGTCCGTCGCACTCACGCATGGCTTTGTCATCTTGGTACGGGTCCCGTCTAGCAACTAGGTGTCTAATTTAGGTTATTTAACTTATAATTTAATAGGTGTATTTAGTGTAGTAGTAAAAGCAGCTATACTATAAGTATAAATTCTATAATACTATAGTTACCTATTTTTAAGTAGTATAAATTTTTATATAAGTAGCGCTTAAATTTCTTTACTATACTTTAAATATTATCTTTATTATAAAAAATATATAGCTAATTTATATACTTACTAATAATCTAACTAGCCTTATATATAAAAATATATATTAGCTACTTTATTTTAAAACTTAGTTTAGTTATAAAATAAAATACTTAAGTATATTACTACTTATTATAAAACTAGCTTACTTAATTAGAGAAAATACTAATAAAAAATAAAAGCTTTAATTTATAAGTAAGCTAAAACTTAGTTTTTTTTAATATATTTTATAGTAACTACTTTAGTAGAAGTTTATATTTTTATAAAGTAGAAATATAAAGCTTTTACTTACTTTTATAACTTTATAATTATTACTATTAGTAATAATATAATAATTTTTTTAATTAACTTCTAACTAAAAGTACTAAGTAACTTTAGCTAAAAGCTATATAATAATACTATAAAGAAAATTTTACTAAGATTATAACTAAAGCTATAAAGATAAAGAATACTTTTTTATAATAAAAAATAATTAGTTTATAATAGTAGTAAAGATACTTTAAAAGTAAATAAATTAATTAGTGTAATTCTAATGCCTAATACTATACTATAATGCTAGACACTAGGGGCCCGTCTAGCAAAACTGCTGCTGGCCTGGCGCCAGAGTGATGCGCCATGCCAGAGTGATGCAGCGGTGCGTTAGACCCTTGGTTAGCCTGTCATGACATCAACATACAGGTGACCGCATCGTGCCGTCAAGCCATGGCAACCAACGCATGCCAAATCGTCTTCCATCGACTTCCGCATCCCGGTCCGTCGCCTGTACGAGATACGGGCATGTGCTGGTCAGCCTCGTTCGCTGTCGGCGTTGTCTCACAAGGCGTGCGGCCACCCACCCCAGCCTCAAAGACACACGAAACATGCCCTGCCCTCCACTGCATTGCCCAAACTTTCTCACCTCTTGCACGCTACTTACCAATCACGCCCCGACACAACTCTCACCGCACCAAAAAAGCCACCGCTGACTGTACCCGCGCCTTTCCTTACCGTTCGTCGCGACGTCTGAATAGGCGCCCTCGGCACCTCGCAAGATCCGCAACCCGTGCAGTCCTCGCCCTCTTGGCGTAGACACATCCTCACCCGTTTTTCCACTGCCATGGTTCCACCCGCAACCCTGTGCTTTTCTCACGCCCGATGCGCAATTTCTTTTTTCCTATCCGATCCACCCACTGCCCAATCGCCGATGGCCATCTCGGTCTCGCTCTCTCGGACATGTCAGGCGGAGGCTCGGACGAACATAACCTCCACCGCGCTTTCCTGTCACGACATTCGCCGTCGCTAAACTAGACTAACTTCACCAACTAATCAAACAATCTCTTTACCGAGTCACAGCCAAAGAAAAACTCAATTCAATAAAAAACTCGATCACGCAGACTGCCCTCGATTTGTAGGCTAAATCACAAAAGAAGAGTCGAGATTCGACATCGCGACCATCACAATTTCCCTCCTCCTTTTGCCCTGACTCTGACACCCTTCTCCAACAAATGCCATGTACATCCCTTTCAACACTAACATTACCATGTCCATGCCTTGACTCGCTGTCACTGTCACTCCCCCAACAAACATGCTGCCCAAACAAACAAAACCCACCCGCATCCGCTGCCCGTCCCTTTCTCCGCCCGTTTGCTGTCCTGCATCCACATCGCAGAAAAGAAAAGAAGCACAGCATGCCCCGTTGTTTCACTAAAGCAAAATTCAGGTACAATCGTGCTACGCGAACGCGAAAATGTCGCGCAACAACCTAGTAGTCTCGTTTTCGTATCCCGCGTATCCCAGCCTCTCTCTCCCCCGTTTCTGTGCGCATGTCTCGCGCACCGCAAGAAGGTCCGAGCGCGGTCAAACCGTCGCTCCGCCGCCGTCGTCCCTGCTGCAAAAGCGGGAGTCGGGTAATTGCCATTTGCTGACTACTTTTGCCGAGACCGTCGTGCTGCCGTTCGGCAGACCGGCGGACGGTGAAGGGTTGTCGCGATGATCTGTGGTGGATGATCTCGGAAGAGTCGGAGCGCGGATGCGGTGGGAGGAGTAGGGGAGGGAGGATCTCAGGGGATGCTCCACTGAATGTGTGCGGTTGCGGATGGGATCGTCAGGTACAGTGTTGTGGAGGGGGGATCATGAGTCGACGAGGGTTTGGCAATGTGATGGCAACTTCAAGGTAGACGAGTGAGTGCTACGAGTATCAATTTGGAGTACATCGCAGTATCACCGGTATTTGTTCCACCCATTGTCCATTTCATAATCTCCATCATCACCATAGTCCTCATCTCCTTCCTCTTCTTCCTCGTCATCCTCATAGTCATCCTCCTGCTGCTGTTCCCTCTCGTGATCGTCAAGGTCCGGCCTCGTGATGTAGCCTGCAATGCGGTCCTCGCGCCTTGCTTTATTCACTTCCTCCGTGACATCCTCATCGACACGACCCTGATGATCAGAGTATGTATACGTCGCATCATTGTAACCATCATCCATCGCAACGACGTGCCCACCGCCACCAGCATGGCGGTATGCAACGGCAGCTTCGCGAGGGCCGCTGAGGTATTTTTCGTCGGGTGGATTGTCGGATACCTTGAAGCCATTTTCTTCAAGACGCTCCTTCCATTCGTCCAGGTCCCTGCCTCCAGAGTCGATAGGGGGCGGACTGTATTCGTTGGGAAGTCCTGAGGCGTAGGATTCGCCCATGTCGGTGCAGTTTACGCTGGAGCCACTTGGGTTGAAGATGTTGGTGGGCTTTTCCGTGTCTTCCCCTTCATCATAGTCGACTTCTTCGTCGTCGTCTTCGTCATCGTCGTCGATGGCATCTTCAACGTCGCTCACATCCTCTTCGCTGTCAGAGTCTTGATCACTGTTGGCTTCTTCACCCTCGTTGTCATATTCATTGTTGGTGGCATCTTCGTTGTCGTCGCTAGAACTCTTAGCGCTGCTACCTAGGTAGCCTCTTCATCTCCGCTGGAAACCTTAGCACTGCCGGCATCATTATCGCCGCCAGATCCGTCGTCGTCGCCAGCTGCTTCAACGTCACTATTGTCGTCATCGCTAAAGACCACTTGATTGTCGCTGGCGTGTCTGTCGTACGGCTTGAGAGCATGGCGTCTCATCTTCTCCACATCGTGGTAGGTCGGGTCACGAGGCATGTCGCGTATGTCGTATACTGTTTCAAGCTTGATACCCGAAAGTGTGGTTGTAGAAATGAGTATTGATGGAGTGAGAGAGTGAGAGCGCCGGGCTTTATGTCCTCTTCAGCCTTGAGCTTTCAGCCTTCCTGTTTCAACACAGCAATTGCGGTATGCCGTTCGGCTTTAGTGGCGCAAGGCAGATACAGCTGAGGTCCTTGGCCAGTAAACAGGTTTGATCGAGCGACATCACAGCTTACCTGTCGATCACTGTGATGTAAAGTCATATATGGCGGTGGCTGAACAGCGCCACCAGGCTGAGCCTTTCATCATGTCACTTGGCTATGCAACTAGACGTTCTCGTGCATGAAGACTTCGGATCGGATAGATAAGATGAGCAAATAGAGTTTCGTCTCCCTCTCTATATGGAGTAAAGACCTACGTATCATCAGACACGCTGAGCCATGCTATGTAATGCCAACGCTGAATGCCCTTCGCGCAGAAAAATGCAATGCAATACAGGAACCACCACAAAATAAAGCCGAAGCTATGTACAACCAGAAGAATACCACCGAGAACGATGTCGAACGACGCCATGCTCGCTCATCCCTGATATCGTATGCGAACTAACACCCAAACAACGCATCCCTGACCAACACATCCAACCACGTAAACCCACCATCCTACGGCGTATCAATAAGATCCTCCAAGAACTCATCGAGTTCGATAATCGTAAACTGCTCCGCCCACTTAGCCCTAAACTGCCTCCTCCTATACCCTCCATTGATCTGCTGACCCCAACTAATCAATTCAACTTTCCACCCCTTCTTCAACGCGCGCTCCACATGCGCGAGGAACCCATCCGACATCTCCGCCACGGCACCGTCGCCCGTCGCAAGAACCATGGTGCTAGGCACTTCGGTATCAATTATGCTCTGGCACATCTTCAAGTGAAGAATCTCGTCGACACCCTGCTCGACCCATTTCGGGGCCGAGGGGGTCTTCGGAGTGACAGCAGACGGACCCGTTTCAGAGTCGCTACCGCTGCCGGAAGAGCGTATTTGAGTAGCCTTGTGCCAGCCCATCTTCTTGACGTCGTTGAAGAATTTCTTCTTCTCAGAGTCTTCGCGTACGATCAGGACTTGCTCTTGCATGACGCTGTCGTAGCCGACGGCTTTGGATGTCTCGACGAGTTTCGCTACGTGGGGGAGGGGGTTGGCTTCGCGGTGGGAGCCGGCGAAGAAGCGCTTTGCTACCGGTCGGCGGCGCTCCATCAGTAGCGCTAAACTGTCAAAGGACATGTCGTATGCGTTGTGGTGCAGGCCGTGGTAGCGGAGCATGTCTTTGAGGCCTATCATGATGTTGGAGGCATCGACAAAGACATGCAATCCATGCGCTGAGTTGCGCTCGTTAAGCATTTGCATAGGGGCCACCAGCCACTTTCGATCATCAGGGAAAGTCTCCATCAACTTGTTAAACAAGTGATAATGACGCTCTACCTGTGATCTAATCGTAAGAGCTGGGCGCTGTCCGCTAAACGACTTACGTTGCGGCGTTGGGGTAGTGGGTGGTTGTTGAACGACGGCTGGTTGAGAACAGGTTCTTGGTACGGTGACCGGTCGAACAGTTCGGGGAACAAGTCCATGGTGTACCGGTGTGGTGGCACGAGGCGCTTGCTGAGGTTCGAGTAGAAGGTCCTGAGACGGGGCAGGTGCGAGTGCATCGAATGTTATATTTTGGGTCTGAGTCGGGGCCGGTGCAGTAGAGGGAACGACTACGGGGACTTCTTGAGGAGGCTGAGGAGTCACAGGCTGTGCCGCGGAAGGCCGCTTCAGTATGCTGGGGCGGGCCTTGGGTGTCCTGGGCTGCTTCTGTTGTGTCTGAGCAGCCTCGGTTGTGTCCTGTGCAAGTACTGCGGTAGGTGTCGCAGGCCTGATCTTAGCGCCCACGTTGGATCGTGAATGTGCTCGGGACGGCTTGGTTGGCATTTCCGCCACCTTGACATCCTTGGCAGTTATGCTGGCGATTTCATCTAGTTGTTTCCGCAGTAACGCCTGCTGTGCCTGTTGCTTCCTCTGCTCGCGTTCTTCCGCGAGCTGGGCCAAGGTGTCCTGAACAGCTTGGTGACGGCACCGCTCCTCTTCGAGCTCCTTCTCGGCGCGTCTGCGAGCCTTCTTCCGTTGGGTCTTAGTCAGACCTGCGTTGTCTATTCCCTGCTCGTCTGAGCTCTCGTTAAGTTTGGCAGGTGTCTTGGTCGATCCGAGGACAGGGGAGGGTAATAAAGCGTCGTCGGAATTGCTGAGTTCGGACTCAGGATCGAGTGGCGGCAACGGCGCGGAGGTGTCATCGGCGAACCCGAGGTTTTCGAACAGCTTCGAAAAGCTGCCGAGACGTATTCCTCCATCTTTCAGTGTAGAAGCCTGAGGTGTCGCCACCGACCGAAGCGGAGGGGAGCTAATCTCTTGGGTGCCCGAATCTATCAGGCCGATGGCGGTGCTGAAGTCCCAGCCGGAGTCGAGCGGTCGTGAAGGCATTTGATCGTTGTAGGCTTGCGAATCGGCGTATTGACCTGGTGTATACTTGTCGTAAGGAATTGGTGCTAATGCGTAGAAGACACTGGAGTCGTCAGTAAGGTGAACGATGAACCATGGTAAGCGGTCCCGAGGCCAAGCTCGCGCGTATTGAAGCCTGAACAGCCTTCACAGTCTGGATATATACTGCGCCGCCTGTACCGCAATAAGTGTCAAACATACCGTGTAACTGATCTCGAAACAATCGTCTTAGTCGCACGCTCATGGTCTATCGCGACAGGTTCAATGGAAAGAGTGTCTTCAGACCGAGTCGGGTTCCACAGACACGAGTGAAAGGAAAGAAATGAGCAGTGACAAAGAATGAGCTTGCGCGAGGGTAAATGTAAGTGAGTGAGTGATTCTGGGTGGCGGCGGGGTGAGGGAGATCGGCAGGTAGTCAGGCGTGTCTCAGCCTCATATGGTCAGTGCTCCATGATTCATTCGGGTCGGGTCGCGAGGCCAACGCGGTGGCGAATGACACACACGAGATGCATGCCATTGGGTCTTCTCTGCGCCAACCTCGACTGGGCTTCAAGCCAGTCTTTACGTCCAGCTAGATTCTCTGAAAATTGCAGCATCGCAGCCCGATACTGCACACGCAGTGCTTGTTCGAGATACTGTCGGTGGTCCGACAGCGTCAAGCGTCCCGAACGAGACGAGCTGGATCGTCGCACAAGTAAACATGGTCTGGCATGTTTCGCTGCAGGGTGCTTCTAGTCTAGCTTCTAGCTACATGTTCACATGGACTTTGGACAAGGTCTCGATTTACTTAGCCTGTGATCTTGCCGTAAGATCTGACGCCTATATGACAATACGTGCGACGAACAATACAGTGAACATACCTACCGAGACGATAGTGAACTGCAACATAGCCGTCGTTTCCTGATACCGACTATCATGCTCATCTCCAATATGTACGATCAGCATCCTCACATTCAACATTTACAAACACTCCATTGAGCCTCGGCACAACCCTCGCGTCCCCTGCCCCACAACCCGCAGCATGTATCTCCAGCAACCGTTCCCCAAGTACCCCTCCCTTCACCCCCTCCCCCTCTCCAAACGCTTCTCCCTTCCCAAAAAGCCATGTCTGCAGATTTCTGGGCAGGCTACGTGTCCGGCGCAGCAGGAATAATAATCGGCAACCCCCTCGACCTGATAAAAACGCGTCTCCAAGCCGGTCCCTCAACGCACAATGTCGAAGCTACATCTCCAGCTACTACGGGCGCGACGGTAGCAACACCACGGGGATTCAAAGGGCAATTTGAGAATGCGGGGACACTCGTAAGAGGTGAGCAAGCAAATAGACACTCGAAACAGTATAAATGAAAGTGGGATACGATTGACTGACTCAACTCCTCCAGTACAGGCGCAACAGCACCCATCCTAACCTACGGCGCCCTCAACGCTCTCTTATTCATGACCTACAACCGCACCCTCACCCTCCTCCACGATTCTCCTGCATCGCCTACAAACTACTCGAAAGTCTTCCTAGCAGGCGCTACAGGCGGTCTCGCGTCTTTCATCGTCAGCGCACCGACCGAACTCGTAAAGTGCCGCGCGCAGGTAGCGACCAACGCGACGACAACTAGTTGGAGTGTCGCGAGAGATGTTTGGAAGGCAGAGGGGATCAGGGGTTTGTACTATGGAGGTGGGATTACCAGTGTGAGGGATGCGGTGGGGTATGGGTTTTAGTGAGTTGCCTGTCTGTTTGTTGTTGGAGGACGTTGGCTGACCGCACACGCAGCTTCTGGTCCTACGAACTCTCGAAACAGGCCTGGTCCTCGCCAGATGACTCCGATCGCGAAACAGCCATGAAAGTGCTGTTATGTGGTGGCCTTGCTGGAGTCATAACATGGGCGTCGATATTTCCGCTGGATGTTATCAAGACGAGGGTGCAGACGCAGATACTACATGCGCCGATGCGGGATGGGGAGGGAAGTGCGCTGCTAGGGTCAGAGACACCCAGAGCACGATTGAGCGCTATCGAGGTTGCCAGGCATGCGTACAAGACAGAAGGTGCGGGCGTCTTCTTCCGCGGCTTGGGCATATGTAGCATTCGGGCATTCGTCGTGAATGCTGTGCAATGGGCTGTCTACGAGTGGATGATGAAACTGCTGCAGCAATAACACATCATATCAGACATCACGAATACGTATAGACCATGACAAAGAAGAGCTTGAAACCGCTAGGTTACTATTCGATCTCCTCATTACATTTCGAAAGCTAGCCCTTTTGTCGACAAGGAAATTTTGGTCCACTACAGACATGCCCGTGATCAAGACCCGTAACACAATCTCTCCAAAGCTCCGTCATGTGTATACATGTGAAATGAGAGAGAAAAAGGTGTTCCTAACATGACAATGCTCATAACCAGAGCAGATGGGAACCCGTATGCATCAGCATCTGATGCTTGCGCGTCGAAGAAATACCGCAAAGCAAGGATCACTTTACATGATCTGATCCTGGGTCAAACCACCAGTGTTCTCGGTACCCTCCATGGCATCGCCGCCGTTGCCCATGTTGGTGTACTTGACGTAGGCGAGACCCAATGGCCTGCCACCGTACTGGTATCCAGTGAACTTGGCTACGTATTGTTAGTGACAGGACTCAAGGTGCATGAACAAACTTACCGATAGATGTCTCGGCATCTCCAGCCTGGGCGAACTCAACGACACCGGTTCCGCGAGAGCGACCGTTGGGCTCATACTGAATCTCGGCACGCTCGACCTTGCCAATCGTGGTGAAGAGCTCGACAAGATCCTCGTTACTAGTCGACCAGGGGAGGTTGCGAACGTAGATGGTGTTGCTGGGCTCTCCGCCTGCAGTAGCGTAGTCTGTGAATGGGTTGGGTGCGGCAGGAGCAGCGTTGGGGTCGAAAGCAGGGCCACCAGGGGGACCACCGAAGCCACCTCCACCAGCGTAGCCTCCACGGCCTCCAAAGCCACCACCAAATCCGCCACGGCCACCGAAGCCTCCACGGCCGCCAAAGCCTCCGCCAAAGGCACCGCGTCCGCCGAATCCACCACCGCGACCACCAAAGCCACCAGGAGCGCCAGCGAAGCGGTCTTCACGGACCTCTAGGTTGCGACCTTGCCAATCGTAGCCGTTGAATTGGGTAATGGCGTTGCGAGCATCCTCGGGAGTCTCGAAAGCAACAACACCGGAGCCCTTGGGACGGCCATCGGGGGCGATGTGGACGTCAGCGCGGAGGACTTGGCCGTTGTTAGCAGCCTGGCGGAAGAGGTCCTTCAGATCCTGCCAGCCGACGTTGTAAGGAAGCTAGAACTGGGTCAGTACACGCTATCGAGGTAAGCAAAGAAGAGAAAAGGGTACGAACGTTGGCGACATAGACCTGTCGTCCTGCACCACCTCCGGCAGCAGGGTTGCCGCCGAAGCCACCTCCAAAGCCGCCGCCGCGAGGCATTCCGCCGCCAAAGTCACCGCGTCCGCCGCCGGGGGCGCTGAATCGAGGCTCGGCCTCTCGGTCTTCGCGAACGTATACGAGTCGGCCCATGAGGTTCTGGTTGCTGAGCGATGCAACAGCGTTCTGCGCCTGCTCCCGAGTGGCATATTCCACGATGCCACAGCCCTACACCCAAGCAAAAGCCAGTCAACCTCCATCCTTCTCACGATCAAGACAAGCCATCATCCTTTACCTTTGACATTCCGTTCGGCAGCAGCAAGACGTCTGCGAAGAGGACCTCGCCAGCTATTTCCGCATTAGCCCAGCTCTTGACGCGGCGCAGCGCGTGCCGTACCTTGGCGCATGAAGTCCTTCAGGTGGTGCCACTTGACATCGTAGGACAGGTTGCCGACGTAGACACGGCGATCTTGTTGCGAAGAATCCCTAATACTCTGCATCATTTCACCCTTGTTCTCGACAGGTCGCGATGAAGCTCCTCGGCCAGCACCGTACGATTGGTAGCCTCCTGCACCTTGCGCACCACTTTGGGGGGAGCGCGAGCGGCGTTCAGTGCGGCGGTAGTCCTCGCGACTGCGTGAGCGGCTACGGGGCGAGTAGGAGCGTCTGGAGCGTCGCGGTGAGCGAGATCGTCGACGGGGAGAGCGGTCGCGCTGGTCATAGTTGTCAGTTTCGTACGACATGATTGCAAAGTACACGCAATGTGTCGAGGCGACGAAGAGGTTCTGGGAGGTTCGGCGATGGCGAGCAGGTGCGGGCTCGCGTGGGTGATGGGGTTGAGGAGAGGTTGCGCGAGCGGGTGAGGGCAAGCAGCTCGGAGCTTGGGCAACGACAATCCGCCCGGGCGGCAGTTGCCGGCAGCGACAGTCACGTGACGGACCACCACCCAGGCGTGAGCAATGAGCGAGGAAACCAAGGGTGCTGGCTGCCTTGGAGGGGCTCATAGGTAGCTAACACCGGTCCCCTCACCATCGCCCACGCTTACAGAGACCCATCCAGCACTGCAACAGCCTCGCCGTTCACCTGACCTGCGCCCGGAGGCGGAAACAGAAAGAAGAAACATGAGCACTTACTCGGTCGCTTGGACGATAGTTGTCTCCTGCAGAGTCTGGTAGGGAGAGGTCAGCAGGCAACGTGTCGGGTCGTGAGAGAAAGCAGAACCGTGATGGCGCGGAGGATGGCAAAAGCTTTGGGAAGCCAGGGAGGGGAAGTTACGGCTGCGTATATAAGAGGGGCCCACTTACCCATCCTGTGTATTAGAAGTAGCTACCGGTGACACTTGCTAAAAGGCCGGCTTCCCTGCCAGCTGGAGGGCCAAGTGGTGCAGATATCACGCTGCAGAGAAATTGCCCTTCTTCCGTCCACGCCTCAATGATGACGCTGTATGGGTCCTCGACAGTGCAAGCCTCCCCACGGCACAGCACCCACGCAGCCAATCGCGTTGCAGAGGCGCCCACCGAAGGCCTGAGGGACGTCCCGGCCGGCTGGGTTGGTCGACGGAGGTTGAGGTTGCAAGACCGATCGGGAGCGCGTCGGTAAG